GGGACGCGCTGTGCGGAGGGGCGCTGCTGCTGCGCGGGGACTGCGGAGCCCTCTGCTTGTCAGAATTCTGTGGAAGCATCCTAATTGCCCAGCAGCAGGGAATCGGTAATTAAATCATTCATGTGTGTGGGATTCCCTGTGCTGGTCCATTGAGCCTTGTAGCACTGTTACAAATTTAGAATTAGGATTCTTGATAAAGAAACAGGCTCAGTGTTTATTGTCAGCCTAACAAGAAAGCATAGGAAGCAGGAAAGTACATCCTACTTAATCTGCGTAGGAAAAATGTGGGCAAGTCTAATTCACATGCGTAGCGTTGCATGTGGAAAGTAAATGTGTCGCCATAGTGTTTTCTCCAAAAGGCAGCGCCCTCCCTTATCGCGGAGGTGACGTTCCCCCACGATAGGCGAGAATCGGTGAAGTAGCGACGTCGTATTGATTTCAGTATTTATATGTATTTTAAGGCTTTATAAACCCTACACTCTTATAAATCCTTCCCACACTTTTAAAAACTTCTAATGTTTTTAACCATTTTGTAAACTCATAAACCTATGTAATTTTAACAACATACACTGTACAGTACTGCAAAACCCTGCAATACAGCGAAAAATCCGTGACAAATAACTTAGATTAATATTTTTTGAAAACCTGCAGAACAGTGAGTCCAGGAAATCAAGCCACAAAATAGTGAGGGACTGCTGCACTTCCCTTCTAACTTTGCTGTAATAATACATGAAAAATAAAGTTATAAAAAGTTGGGGATTTTTTTCGGAACCAGGGATTGAACTCAGGCCCTTGCCAGGGAAGCGCTTATTCTACTGAGCCATCACCCCAGCCCTAAAGTTATAAAAAGTCAGAAAAAGTGAACCATCCACAGTCTTTGCTTACAGGGTATCTATTTTGCTTTAAAAGAGTCAGGGACAGGGAGATAGATTGGTGGCCAAAGGACCTGCCTGGCAAGCAGAAGGATCCCGGTACTGCATGCTGTGCTGACCCTGTGAGGAGCCGACCACCGCAGCCAGGCATGGTGGCGCGCACCTATAATCCTAGTGCTGGGGAGGCTAAAACAGGAGGATCACCGTGAGTCTGACTTGCGTAGAAAGACCCTATACCGAATAAAAATAAATAGATGAGTCAAAACCACTACCTTTGCCTTCTACCTTGTTAGCATGAATTTGATTTTTTTACTGAAATACTTGAAGATCCCAGTAACATTAAGTCTGTCAGCAGAGCAGATTTCTCCTGACCAAAAGCTGTGATAAGTGACGCAGGGCAGTCCGGGTGCAGCCAGGGCGCTCATTCGCGAGGAATGGCGGGACGAGGACCTTCGTGTTGCTGTGTCTTTCAGGGTGAAAGGATCACACTGCTCCGGCAGGTGGATGAGAACTGGTATGAAGGGCGGATTCCAGGGACATCCCGCCAGGGAATCTTCCCCATTACCTATGTGGATGTGCTCAAGCGGCCGCTGGTGAAGAACCCCGTGGATTACATCGACCTGCCTTACTCCTCTCCGAGTCGCAGCGCCACTGCGAGTCCTCAGGTACGTAAGCTCCTTGTCACTGCTTGTCACTAGGACATGCGCTCAGCAGTGCCAGTGGCCCACCGCGCCCCCAGGTGGTTCTAGAACAGTGCAGGCTGTGTGCTAGAGTTGATCTTTGCATGTACACGTAGCATTTGTCCAGCACTTGGTAGAAGAAAAATCTCAGGGGAAAAGGAAGAACTTAAGGTGGGGTGAATAGGGAAACAGAAGCACGGTCCCTTATTAGTGACTTAGTGGTACAAGTTGGTGGCATTGACGCATTGCTGTATCATGACTCCTACAGCTCAGGGTGGGTCTGGGCCATGTTGTCAGTCAACCCTGGCTCACAGAAGCCTAATGTGGAACAAGAATATTGTGGTTTCTTCCTTAGACTTATAGACTAAATCCAAAGTATTTGTATATAAGCTTCACTTGATCCAGGTTAGAAAAGGCACTTAAGAGGTATGATTAAAAACCATGATGAAGGGCTGGCCAAATAGCTCAGTGGATTAAAGCACCTGCAAGCAGGCGCAGGGGCTAGGGGTTCGATCCCCGGGCCTGCCCTGTTGGCCCTGCCCCTGGGGCATGCTGAGATGGCAATTGAGATTGGGAGTGGTGGCACGTGCCTGTAATCCCATCACTTGGGAGGCTATAAACAGGAGAATCACTATGAGTCCAATCCAGTAGTGAGACCCTGAACACTCTGTAGAGACCTCCTCCCTGCAAATCAAACCCCCCCAAAAAATATGATGAATATTTAATTTTAAAATTTTATTACAGTGCATGACACATGGCAATGAAAGCCTCTCCAAATACACCTTCCATTTTGAGCACACTGGTCCAGTCATGCTGACCACTTTCTGAAGCAGTTCTGAGATTTGTTTTAGTTACAGTATCATGACAATCTTGATGTCCAGAACTGGTTCAAAACATTGGCCTTTCATGGTCATTTCCACTTTGGGGAAGGGCCTGATGTTACGTGGCGGCAGATCCAGGGAGTGAGGTGACAAGGACACATTGATGTCTCTGTGAGTGCGCCTTTTCCTTGGGTGGCATGTCACAGCATCATTTACCATATTTTTGATCATGCCGCATAAAAACACAAAAGAGGACTTTCGGAACTTCTGAATGTGGCGTAGGCATAAGTCTGAGGTGAGGTGAGGGTGGGTGGGAGTACTGTGAGAGGGATTGATGGTGATGTGTCTTTTGCTGAAATTTTTACATTTGAAAAACCATATTTAAGCTGTGCTTATACACATAGAAAGCTGTTTGTTTTTCTAGACATTGATTATGGAGAATTTGCTTTAAAATATAAATTACTCCAATCCTGTGTCCACAAAGCATAAACTCGAACTTTAAGTTCAGGAGAGCTACAGTTGAGGTGGCATCCTGTGGAATAAACTGACCGTGTTGCTGTGCACACTGTGGGGCGTGTGGACAGAGGACCCAGGGCCTCTGCAGCTCTGAAATGGGCCTCTTTTGCTCCTATCCTGCAGTCACTTCCTCTTCTCCCCCTGTTCAATCACTGACCCTAGTCGAGGGCTCTTGACATGAAGCGTTCACCAGACTTCCTCACGGGGAGACCCATGTCCTGCTGTCCCGGGAGGGGCTGGGAGGTGGAGCAGGGCATCTGCTTTGTGGCCGTGTGGACCACTCAAATGGTGCTTCCACAGGACTGGAGCCAGGGGTGATTGTAAAACAAATTGCTACCAATACTCAGGCTCCTTTCTTGAAGCCGCTGAGCCCTTTAAAGAGAATAAAAGCCCAGAAGAGCAGTGTGCCCCAGCTCTGGCTCGGGGCTCCAGTTGTAGGGATGATTGGGTGGGCTGGCGTGTGGCCTCCCAGTGTCTCCCTTTGGAATATAAGTGTGCAAAGCCACGTGTCACTGTCTGATGGGAACATGCCCTGTCTCCATGCCACTGACCTGCGCTGGGCTCCCTGCATGTACTGGTACACACACACACACACACACACACACACACACTCACACACTCACTCACTCTCACACACTTCACCCACACCTTGGTTTCTTTCCAAACCTCGCCAGGTGACTTCCCTGTTGGACACCAGAGTGCCCTGCTCATCCTCACCTTTCCATTCCTCTTTGGGCTTCCTGTGGTTATTTTCTTCCTTTTTCCTTTATGCTGACACTTGTTCCTTTTACCTCTTCCTTTTGTTTTCTTTTTCTGATTTTCTTCTTAAGTGCCCCAGTCACAGCAAGATCATCATGCCAGCCCCCTCATCTCTGCTCCATCCCCGTAGAGCCCTGTCCCCTGAGATGCACGCTGTCACCTCCGAGTGGATCTCGCTGACCGTAGGGCTCCCAAGCAGGCGCTCTCTGGCCCTCACCCCACCCCTGCCTCCTCTGCCCGAGGCATCTGTCTACGATACGGGCCACTTCACCTTAGCAGCGAGGGCCTGTGCCTCCCTACCCGTCAGCCCCCCTCGTGGGAGCTGGTCAGATCACTCTGCTCCACACTCAGTGGTGTCTCCATTGGCTCTGCCTGCTCCTCAGAAAGCCTCCTCCCTGGTCCCCAGCTCCCAAGCCTCTCTGCATGTCAATGGAGACGGTGGCTTCCACGTGCCATCTTGGGGCATTCACCAAGGTAGCTGCTCCCGGCCACTCTTTGGGAGCTCTGATAGGGTCATCTCAGAGCTTAGTGGTGCCTTTAGCAGCCAGGGCAAAGTGCAGCCCTGGCAAGAAGAGAATGAACAGTATGACAGAAGAGCAGAGAGCAAGGCAGGTGAGAGATGCCCTGGTGGACCCAAGATCTCTGAGAAGAGCTGCTTGAAGCCTTCAGATGTGGTCAGGGGCCTGAGTACTGAACAGAGACTCCCAGAGCTCCGCACTCCTGAGGAGAGCCGGCCCAGCAAGCCTCTGGGCAGCACTTTTCCAGGAAGGGAGGCGGGGCACACAGAGCTGCATAGAGGTGGCGAGGCTGAGAGGAGAGCTGCTCAGAGTGGTATGAGCCAGGTAGGCCTCAGCATGACGGGGTGTACTTGGCGTCTCACTTGGCAGGGTGGGCTGGATGGCTTGCCAATCAAGGCCAAGTGGATGCCTGTGAGACCTGTTTGCTTGCATTGGGAGTGAAGAAATATCCCAGGAGGGGCGTGGAGGGGACATTGATTCAAGAGATAGGGCTGGGAAAGTTGGAGGCAGAAGTCAGGCTGTGTCTGGCCCCTTGGGGTGATTCAGAAGTGTCCTCCTATTGGCTGTTCCTAGCCTGATACACAGCCCATGAAAGGAAGGCCTCCCTTGTGTCTCATTCATGCTTTAGAGATTGCCTTTGGTTTGCTCTGACTAACATGGCTTTGAACACCAGGCTTTGGTATGATGTGCTGTGGTGTGGCTTTCTGTGATGTGCACTTCGTCCTCAGTAACTCGTGGTGCGCTGCTGGTGCTTAGTTACGTCAGTCAGGTCTTTGTCCTGTCTCTTGTTTGTGTGGAAGCACAGGTCTTGTTCACAGGGAACAGAGGCATTTGATTCTTGGGAGGAGCGTGCATGCCCCTGAGGGGCTTGGGGTTGCTAAGTGGACACACCAGGTTTTTGAGTGACTGACCCTTCTTTCTAGTTTCAGCTACAGAAATTTTAGGGTCTGGACCAAGGGAGCTTTGGGTCTTTAGAGGGCAGAAAAATTTTAAAGGAGAATGAACGTGGCCTCTGGACAGACCACGATTCTAATTTTGGTTGTGTTGTTCACTACCTAGAAAGCCAAAGACTTTGGGCAACTTCTCCGAAGTAGGCAGGGTTGAGTGCCTGCTCAGTCTCTTCCTGTGTGGTGAGGCGAATTATTCACCTGCTCTGGGACTTGGTTTATTCATCCATCAAATGAGGATGTCCTCTACCTTGTAGAATGATGGAGAAGCTGTCTCAGTAATGTGTGTTAGGGCTAAGCACCGGCTAGAGCGGCTTAACGGACGCTGTCGAGCTACTACGCTGGTCACCTTTCTGTTGCTGGGACCAGGATGTTGGGTGCCATGACAGAAATAATTTAAAAGAGCAAATGTTCCCGCGGCCTCCCAGTTTCCGAGGCAGCAGTCCAAAGCTGTGCGGCTCTGAGGTCAAGGTGCTGGGCATCAGGGCAGAGCGAGGCTGCTGGGCTCACTGTGGCCAGAAGCAGAGAAGGAGCAGAAGAAGAGGGAGGGGAGGGAGGCAGCCGGGCCCTGCCGTCATGCCGTGACCCGTCCAGATGAGCCCAGGAGTGTGTCAGTCCAGTCGATTCACAGTCCAGATTGCCGTCTCTGCACCCACCGTGGGCGATCCAGGATAGCTTAGTCTACGAACAATAATTCAAGGCCTGCTGATGCCAGCCTCTGGGCAACAGCCAGAGGTCATCGTTCCATGATCTTGAGGAGTTTGTGTCCACCCAGACAGGCAGGCACAGCAGTGTCTTCAGGACAGTGACAGAGCACAGTGGCCAGAGACCGGCGGTACTACCTTGGTTCATGAACACTTGTGTTCACAGACAAAAGCATTCAACAAAATTGTGCTTCCATTTGCGAACTCCACACTGGGAGACAGACACAGCTACAACCACCCTCCGCACACAAACGGCTGTACCGATCTTCCCCAAAATTGTAGAACAAGTTAAGTTCATAAGCTGAGGTACCAGTGTCCTGGCCCCGACCTCCATCAGCAGGCAGTTCATAGGCTAGCGTGCCAACAGGGCAGGAGGAGGGAGAGTGACAGGGAGTGGTGCACGTGGGCTTGGGATGCTGAATAGGAAAGGAAAACGGGTTTTCAGTAGGCCTGGCAGTCGCTATGTTGCCAGCCCTTGTAGTCCTGGCCGCAGAGTGCTAGCGCCGTACGCAGGGGTGGGATCACTGTAGGTGAGCAGTGTGGGGTGGTTGTAAGGGTGTGGGCTTAGCCTTTTATTAGCACCAAGCCTCTGTGAGCTACAGTTTTCGTGTGTGTGAAGGTTTTCCCGTGTCCCCGCAGTAAAGTAGCTGTACAGCTGAAGTGAAGGTGCTCCCGTGCCGTAAAGCCGGGGCTCCTCTACTGTGGCTGCAGACTGTGGCC